TAGATGAGTTTGAAAAAAAACAAAGATTCTAGACTGAAATGAAAAAAGAATAATAGTTAATAGATGATTTTTTAAATTAAACCATTTAATTTAGTATTGGAAGCTTCCATCAATTTAGTTAAGAGAGTTGCATAGGGGTAGATGAAAATGAAATAATTTTAGAAGTTAGTAGATGAGTTTGAAAAAAAACAAAGATTCTAGACTAAAATAAAAAAAATAATAGTTAATAAATAATTTTTTAAGTTAAGCCATTATTATTCTTTTTGCCCTCTTTAGGCATAAACAGCGCCGTTTTAAAATTGTGCTGCCCTTTAGTCCTTAACAGTTTTTCGCTTGCCACTTCAGTCACCTTATTTAAACCTCATTGCAATTGGGTCCCTACAAAACAAAGCTTGTCTTTTAAATGTTTCCAATTGAGTATAAAATGACATTAATTTTATTTAATCTCGATTTCTTTTTCAACAAAATTTCAGAATTAATTTCCCACATCAAGTCAAAGCTCAAATATTTAAATTTTCATTTAAAACATAAGAATTTATGGGAAATTAATATTTTAAAAAAATTGAGATTTTGGCAAAAATATTAAAAGAGCTAGAAAAAATTGGGTTATAATAGTTCATATATGTATATTTTTAGTTTCTATACTTTTAAATTGAGAGATTAAAAATATACACATTGAAACAAATTTAATAAATTAACTGATGAAATAACCAAAAAAATACATTTTTTTTTATCAAAGTTATTATTACCATACCAATGAGTATTCCAATTTTGCTATTAAAACATATGGCATATCAGGGTCGTGTTGCAAAATTTTACAATAAGAGAGTACGAGCTCGTCAGTTCAAGGTTGGCGATCTGGTTTTACGCAAAACTGGATTAACCAATACTTATTCACACATGGGCAAGCTCGCTCCTAATTGGGAGGGTCCCTATATGGTTGTTCAAGTTAAACGACCTGGCTCTTATGTGTTAGCAGATATGCAGGGACGTCAGTTACCTTACATTTGGAACGTACAGAATCTTAGAAAATTTAACAGTTAACATGTGTACACTTAACCTGTGTACTATTCTTTTATTCAAGTTGTTATCCGACAGTTGTAAACAATGATATACAGAAAATACAACAAAAATTCAAAGGAAAATTCATATTTGTATTTCATCAAAGATGTTTACATTGGAGGTACATATGATATGAATCCATTGATCAAATACAAAAATGCAAAAACAAAATACAAAAGATCAAAACAAAAAAATCCTAAGTCTAATCATCCGTCAAATCGACGGGCATGGACGCGTCAGCTGTTGGCGGAGAGGAGCGAGCTGGAGGCGAGCGCCGAGCTGGAGGCGAGCGCACAGCTGGCTCGGGAGCTGGCGCATTGATAGGTGACCTCAACGGTGGCACTACGGCAGGCTGAGAGTTGGGCGGGGTGCTTGAAGGCTCTTGCTCAGTTACAGGAGCACCCTCTACCCATGCGTCAAAAGAGGGCAGCCCTGTTGGATCCTCCCCGTCCTCAAGGACCTGAGGAGGCCAAACAGGCACTCCCTCCTCGTTGAGGCCCCACCTCAACCGCACCGTTGCGTCGACAAGGGGAGCAAGACTCTTCCCCTGCTCTCCAGGTCCTCCCCGTTGAAGAACGCCAGCTCGCCAATCTGGAAGTCCGGGCGATGTTGCAGCACCTTCCCACGGATCTCATTGTAGATCTCTGTGGTCACATTTGCAGACGCCACCGCCACGGCGTCCTGAAACGCAGCCAAACCCACGAACCATTCCGCCCCTTGAGCTCGGGCGATGCTTACAGAGAGCGCGTGGGAAGTCTTCAGCTCGTTAGCACCTCCCCGGCAGCATTGAGGTTCTTGTCGGCCTCGGCGACCTGGTGCCTAAGGGAGCTCAGCTCGTGCTGAGCGCGGTCCCTGTCGGCCTCAGCCTTCTTGGCCCGTTCCTCAACCTGAGCGGCTTCTTCCTTAGCTGCCTGGATCCCGCTCTCTTTTTCGGCACGGGCTCGCTCCAACTCCTCCCTAAGCTCATTGTTTCTATTGGCGAGCTCGTCTGCTCGGCTCTCCGCTGCAGCTGCCCAGTTGGCCATCTCCGAACCTTGCAGACGGTTGACATCATCTGCAAGGCTGGCTTTCTCTGCGGCCAACTGCTTGCAATTGGCGCTGAGCTCGTTATTCTAAGAGCGAGCTGCTTGCTCACTCTCGAACATAGCGACGACGTAGCTGAACGCCTGCCAAACAACATCAGTTGTTAGTCTATCAGGTGGAATAGCAAGATAATAACACAAATGATAGCCATAGATGAAGGGATACTTACGTCCATTAACTTGATCATGGCTACCTGCCCGCCATGCTGCTGCACGTAGCTCTTCGCTCGTAGCCGATCCGCTGGAGGCATGAAGCTTTGCATGCCTTGCGTCATAGCGGGTTGGCACTCCGGCTTCACATAACTAAAGTTGTCAAGATACGCGACCCTGGGCGCCAAATCTGAGGCCGACGCAGATGCAGGCTCTGCTACTGCCCGCGCAGTCGCTGACGGCACGTTGGGTGAGCACACGGTTGCAGGGCGGGCCGCCTACGCGGGCTCAGTCCCCCTTGTCGTCTTGCGCCTCAAGAAGGGGACCTCATCTTCGCTGTTCATCTCCTCACGTGCACGCCTGCGTGCACTGGGGGCCGCAGCCTCAGCCCTATGGTCAACCCGCGGCCTAGATGTCGAGCTGGATCCTCGGTGGGATGAGCTGCGCGAGTGAGGTGCTGCAGGCGGTCGCTTGTCGAATCGCGTCTGTCTTTGCGAGGTGCTGCCCACTCCACGACCTCGTAAGCTCTGGGCTCGTTGATACTGGCGTTCTAGTATGCTGCTCATTTCTCCTGCACAAACAAATGTATAAGACTCAGCTCAACTAGAATGCATACCATATGACAAAAGTGTACCTTCGCTGAACAGGTTTGTCACGTCGATGTCATAACTCAAAATTTTATCAAAAAAAAAAAATCAATCAAAAATATAAAAATATGAAAATTTCCCTTTCCTTTGATTAATATATCTTTATTTTGTTTCAGGTGCTACATGCAAAAAGAAATGGGAAAATTCAAGAAGAAGAAAGAAGGGACTCAATT